ATTTGAATTTCCCGGGCTTCATTTGCATCTTGCCGGGCGCCGCCATTTTTAAATCCCCGCTAGTTTGGACTCCGTGCCTGCGGCTACACGCGGCACGAAATAGGTAGTTTGGATTAGGCTTCCTATTCCGAACTACCGTTACTCCTTGTTCCACGAGTAACGGTAGTTCGGAATAGGAAGCCTAATCCGAACTACCTACTCCGTGCCGCGTGTAGCCGCAGGCACGGAGTCCAAACTAGCGGGGATTTAAAAATGGCGGCGCCCGGCAAGATGGAAATGAAGCCCGGGAAATTCAAATCCCGGGCTCCATTTGCAACTTCGGTTGCCTACATTAACCACCCTAGTTCGAACTAGGGTGGTAGTGTAGACATACCCTCAGTGTTTAAAGTGCCACAGGACTCCTCATTGTCTTAGCTCAAGAGTGGGATTTTCTAGACTTGCCTAAGTGACTTAGGAGCACACACTGAAATGAAAGTGAATACATTCTTGTGCTCCTAAGTCATTTAAGAGCATGTGAAAATTCCATACCAAGCATCTTGCCAGTCTATGTTTCCTCTTCATATGCATGTGTATGATTTTTTCATTATTGAACATTTACCTGAGAAGCTAAGTGGTGCAAGGTCAGAACAGCATGTAAGCAAGATGTTTTATAATCTTTATTTAGATAGAGAAAGTTAAGTTACAGAATATTAGACTAAGTCACCCTCTTTCTTACCCAATATCTGAGGATAGAACAGCTACAGACATGAAAATGATCCAGTTACTTGTAGTGCAGCCAATGATTACATTAAAACAGTTAACAATACATTCCTCTTAAATATTAGTGCACATACAGTACATAAACATAATTTTCTGTTCCTTATTAGCAAGAAAATAATTCCAATGGCATACATTTTCAATTCAAAATTAATTTTGGTGATAAAGTCCTTCTGTGCCCATCTTAAAAACATATTAAAGTAAACTAATGTCCACTAAACCTGGAGTTTGTCTACTTTCATATTAACTGGTTACTCTCATTGCAGTACTTTAAAACAGAAAGTACAAGCTTATTATTACGAAAAGAAGTTTGTTAGATTTCCTATCATTCAAAATCTTTGGCAATGTTTCCATGGAACATTCTCTCTTATGTAGACTTGATGATTTCACAACAATTTTATTTATGACACTTCAGCCCTCTCCAATCCCAAATACCCTGAGATCACAGACTTTCCTTTAAATGACTGAGCAGGCCAAATAAACTTAATATGTGAGTGCTAAAACAATAAAGATCCTATATTGTGGGTGAAAAATAATAATAGTACAGTACAGTGGAAAGCCTTTAAATATATTATTAGACATTTTAAAGTCACATTAATTAAAATTAAACACCTCCCACTGAATAGAAATACTGACCTATATACTAAAAGAAACTACTTCCTTTTAGGAAGTCAGCAGCAAGGAGTCTGAAAAACTAAAAAATGACACCATGGGATGCGTCATGGGCACACTTTGTGGTGAGATCTGTATGGATTCACACTTGAGCCAAGATTTTCAAAGCTGGGGGCCTAGAGCCAGGTTTTTAAGTCCTTATTTAGGCACCTAAGTAAGTGGCTTGGTTTTCAAAAAGTCTGACCTGCATTCACATTAGGGAGTACTCCTGGGAACTTTACAAAATCAGGTCGCATATTTAGGAACTTAAATAAGGATGTGGGAGCCTCTCTTTAGGCATCCAGCTTTGTTAAGTCTTGGTGTTGATTAATAGTGTTAGGTGCATATCAACCTGTACTGGCCAAAGATTATCACCATGCTCTGCACTAGCCAAATCCTTCAGCATGTTGGCAGAAACACAAACTCACAGGCCTTTGCTATGATGCGGCAGACTGAGAATAGATGATAGGAAGGATTCGGTAATTATGCATCTTCTAAACACACAAATAAAACGAGCTACAAAAACAACATTGAGAAAGAATCTGGGGCTATGTCTAGACTGCAGGCTTCTTTCAAAAGAGGCTCTTTCGAAAGCATCTTTCGAAAGAGCCTCTTTCGAAAGATCGCGTCTAGACTGCAGGCGGATCTTTCGAAAGAGCAATCCGCTTTTTCGAAAGAGAGCACCCAGCGAGTCTGGATGCTCTCTTTTGAGGAAGCCCTATTTACATTGAAGAACGCCTTCTTTCGAAAGAGGAACTTTCGAAAGAAGGCATTCTTCCTCGTGAAACGAGGTTTACCGCCATCGAAAGAAAAGCCGCGTTCTTTCGAAATAATTTCAAAAGAACGCGGCTTGAGTCTGGACGCAGGGGAAGTTTTTTCGGGAAAAGACTACTTTTCCCGAAAAAACCCCTGAGTCTGGACACGGCCTAAGTTATGTTCATCAGTCCTATTATAAATATATGTAGAAAATATTCAGGAGCAATAAAAATAAAGTTCAACACAAAAATAAAAATAAAAATGCATTTGATGTTATTGTCTAGTGTACTTTTTTTGTAAACAGGTTTTGTCACCAAACATACTTTGAAAAACTTGGCTGCAGTATCTCCTTTAGAAATAGCTTAAAGACTTAAACCCTTGAGTCTGAAAAGCTAAAGTTAGTTTTTGCCCATCCGGTCACTGCCCTCAAATGCTCCATAGTGACACTTTACTATTACAGGTGCTGGGTATATTAATAACATAGTGCTGCGTCTGTATTCCTTTAAAGTGCCTGCCAAGTATTTAATTTTGTCCATGCTGAAATGAAAATGAGAGCACTGCTTAGAACAACTGTTTGAAAATCTACATGTAGTTCACACCATATGCTACTATGCTGAATCCCTATTGGAAACACTTGTAAAATGGAGATGAAAGCACTATAATGCGGATGCCATAAGAAGAGTGACTGGGGAAATATTCTGAAGGCGAGAAAAATATTAGCTATTGCTCTGTCTTAATGTGTATGGGTATTAGGGGAGGGATTTTTTTGGCACATTCTATTTCCTCAAGAAATGTTTATAATTAAATATATTATTTAGAAAAGTATTTTTAATAAAAAGAAAGTTTTATAAATTCTAAAAAAAAAAATCAGGATTTTTTTTCAAATACAGGCAGTCCCCGAGTTACGCGGATCCGACTTATGTCGGATCTGCAGTTACGAACTGGGCCCTCCCTCTCCCTGGTCTCCAGCAGACCAGGGAGAGGAAGCAAAGCAGCGGAACACGCGGGCAGCGGACAGCCCAGACACGTCTGGGCTGTCCACTGCCCGCGTGCTCCGCTGCTTTGCTTCCTCTCCCTGGTCTGCTAGAGACCAGGGAGACGGGCCCCGTTCGTAACTGCGGGTCTGACGTAAGT